TCGAGAAGTGAGAGTTTAGAAGGAATCGGCGTGACGGGCAGTTTGCTCGCCGCTGCGCGCAGCTCGCCAGCCTGAGCTCCGGTTGCCACCGCCGTGGCGGGCAAAAAAAAAACCGGCGGAGACTTATCCTGGGCAGAAGAAGAAAAAAAAAATAATAATAATCTCACAAGACCAGAAGTGGGGAGGAAGTGCATTGTGGACACAACGGTGTGGCGGGGTGGCAGCCCAGCGGTTAACAACACTGGCGGCAAGAAGGGCCCTGGGTTTACATTTATTTTTTTAAACTGGTGCCTTTTTCTGCGCGGAATTTCGTGCGTTCTCCCCCTCTGCTCCGCGTGTGGTTTCCTCCGTGTTCTACGGTTTCCTCCCATAGCGGGGAAAAAAACCCCCACATTCGATGTCACTGGCGCTGTGGCCGAACATCCCAACGTAACAGGGCGTACCTGGAGTCTGAGGACTCGGTGTGGTTATCTCTGGGTAAACGAGTACTTGTTATAAATGCATCGTCTCGATTGGGTCAATTGTCATGCAAATGACAACAACACTGGACTTTGTGTGTGTGTGTATATATATATAAAATGCCTCGGTAACATTTAGAGATTTCCCAGGAGAGCCACGATATGAAAGACGACAATCCTGGAAGAAATCCAGGTGGCGGTTGGGACAACGGTCGTCGTTCCGTCCACGGCGTAACGACGACGGTAGCCGGGGGTTGTGGGATTCCGAACCCTCGCGGAGAGGGACAGCACGAGCCGATCCATCCCCACCCGCCCACCCACGACTGTTGTCTAAACAACCAAAGCGGCCCATCCTGATCGCAGCAAGTTACGCAAATGATTGCGTTGAGCAATACGAGCGAGGTGCCGGAGAGCGAACGCGGTGTGTTTCCGGGCCGAGGCTCGCCCCGTTGTTGTTTACAGAGCGGCGCTGCGTGCTCACGTTGCTGCCCTGCCGGATTATTAATGGTCGCTCGACATCAAACGCGGCGTCAACAGCCACTAGCCTCCCCCCACCAGCCTCCCCCCACCAGCCTCCCCCCACCAGCCTCCCCCCACCAGCCTCCCCCCACCAACCTCCCCCCACTAACCTCCAACCACCAACCTCTCCCCACCAGCCTCCCCACACCAACCACCCCCCACCAACCTCCCCCCACCAGCCTCCCCCCACCAGCCACCCCCCACCAACCACCCCCCCACCAACCTCCCCCCACTAACCTCCAATCACCCCCCACCAACCTCCCCCCACCAACCACCCCACACCAACCACCCCCCACCAACCTCCCCCCACCAACCGCCCCCCACCTATATCCCCCGACCAATCTCCCCCCACCAATCTCCCCCCACCAACCACCCCCCACCAGCCACCCCTCAAAAGCCACCCCCTACCACCCTCCCCCCACCAACCACCCCCCACCAACCTCCCCCCACCCCTTCCCTAGATCCCTCCCTACACGCTCGAGAGAGAAACCACCGCCGCAGGGAACACATAAATGAATAATCGCGTGCACAATGTCCGTGCGCACGCGCAAACACGCACGTAAACACGCAGATACTTACGCATGCGTATACACAAGTATGGGGCCGTCCATATATGACGTCACGCGATTTTGGATGATTTTTGACCCCCCCCCACTTCCCCTCGTCACACAGCGTCACAAAAAGTCAGACCCCCCCTCAAATATGACGTCACAAAGCTCTGCCCCCCCCCTCCCCCAAACCATATTTCCATTTTGAAAATAAAACATGCTTCAAATCGCTTTAAACTATTGTCATTGTAGTGCGTATTCAATGTGGCGCTGCACTCTGACGTTGTAGGAGAAAGCATTTATAAAAAAAGTATATTTAATTAAGTAGAACGTGTTGTCTATATTTATTTAAAGTTGCGCATTTTGATGTGACGTCACATTTCTCAACCCCCCCCCCCACCTCGTCACACATCGTCACAAATGTCTGACCCCCCCCCCACCCCCCCCCAGGTGCGTGACACACGTACACACGTACACGCACATGTGCATGTACGCACACGCAAATACCATACAAGATGCCTCGGAGCCGCAACTTTTGCAGACTCACTGCGACGATCCGAATCAGAATCTTCTTCATTTGTACTGGAGGAGGAATCCGATGGGCTACGAAGCTCTTTTTCACAAGCGTCCAGTAAGGGGTTGCCACGTCAGCAGATTGCACCATCAAAACTAATAGACGTAAGGACACAGGATTAAATTAGCTACGGGTTAAGCTCGTCAATAGCAAATTAAATATAGATATAGCATTGACGTACGAATTGCACTCGTTACATATATACTGGGATCTCAAATGTAGCGGGGAGCTGATGGTCCTCAGCCTGGGCACCAGCGACCCACAGACACACAATGTTCGCCTAAATTTAGGTTTTTTTGTCATTATGAATTTGGCACATTTAAGCTCTGTGGTTACAGATGTTTTAAAAAAAAAAATAAACATTTAATAGCTTCCCACCACTCACCCCCCCCCCCGCCCCAACTTTAATTTATCCTGCTTTCAAACAACGCCATTCGGGAAATTGTCACTTAATGTTATTTATGCAACTGGCCTCTGGGGACGAATCTTTTGTTCCCATGATCAGTTAAAAATGAACCAGTAAGTTCGGCTGCAGCCAGGCGTTTCTCTAGTAGGGTAGCTTTAACCGGGACTAGCCGGCATCAACCGAGGGATGCGAGGGAGTTCCATCGCGACAAAGGAGTTCTCTCTCTGTCTTGCCGCACGACGGCAAAAAGCACATTTGAAATAAAGCAAGTTTTATTGTGAGTATCTATCCGTGAATATGATTCATTTACACTGCTGTAAAGTTTACCTGCACATCACTCACTCGGGATAAATTATGAAATAACATCGCCCTCCGACTACTACGAGAACTTGGCAGGACCCTCCTGAACAGGAGTCCTGAGACTCGGCGAAGCCTTCCTGGGTCAAACGAGCGGAACAACAAAGTAACCGCGGCCGAAGACGCCCCGTCAGGATGGTCCTGCCACACTGCGGTGTTTAGAAAGTCCAGTGACAGTGCCATCCGTTTTTTTTAATTTAGGTTATTGGAGTAAATCTGAGAACCCGGAGGAAACCCATCCAAAGAACAGGGAGAGAACACACAAACCGAGTCAGGAGTTGAACTAAGGTGTTTTTTTTTTTCGTTCGTCGCTGTAAGGCGCTAGTATCGCAGCTGCACGAGCAGGATGAAGGCTATACGTCGTGTGTGTATATTTACACAGGGCCTAAATACCGGTAAGCATCTCAAGACACTGTACGCGGGCAAGCTTATAAATACCCACGGAACATTCAGATAAAATAAACAATCGGAGACAAATCAAAACACAAGCACACGAGCTGGGTCGACCGAGCGGTTCACGGGCCACACCGCACGTAAGCCGTTCTCAAGCCACCGCCAACGCACGCAGGCAGAAGGGTGGACTGAATGACGATAACCACGATAACGACGACGACGACGAATGGGAAAGAGAACGGCAAGGGTGATAATTTTGGGGGGATACGAGGCAGTGTCTTAAGAGGATGCCACCGGTCACTTTTACATTGCATTTATGGCTTTATTTTGGTGATTTCGAAAACGTTTTTTGGTTTGGCCATGTTTTTGTTTATTGTAGTACGGAGTTAGACTGATGGCCTTAATCTAAGTTGTCTTGTGGTTGTTGTTGTTGTTGTTGTTTGACTTTGCATCCAACTGGGATTTTTGCACACAGCGTTGGTGGTGTACAGTGCTTTATTCAGGAATATTTTGCTGTTTTTTTCATGGATTTTCTGTTTGCACAGTCAACACAGTCACTTTAAGATGTTTTCTTGTTCGTGTTTTCATTTTTTGTTTGTTGCGGTTGCACCCGATTCAAGAGCCGAATGGCTCACAGGGCTATACCAAAATAAATAAACTAACAATGACACTATGAATGGCTGAGCGGAGAAGGTTTGCCGAAAGTGGACTTTTAAAAGCCGCGAGATTCAAGTGATTTCGGCTCAAGCGAGCGTTCAGAGGGTGCTCACCCGACGTTTACGGCCCTGAACCGGTGTTGGGAATTCCACATTCCTTACAGGAGGCGTGAGTATATCCATAGGACAACCACTCTTGACTTCCCCACCGAGTGGGACTCATTTTATTGACCCCCCCAGAGGGATGATGGGTTGAGTCAATCCCCGGCCAGGATTTGAACTCCTGTTACCTCGCTGAGCTTCCTGTCTCGGCTGAACACACGGAGGGAGAACTATCAATGCGAATGAGCAAGGGGAGGTGATTTCCAAACACCAGGAATCAACAGAGCTGTATTCTTTTTCATCGAAGTGGACATCACAGAACTACCTCTGAGATCATATTAAGTGCCCTCTGGTCCACAGAGTCGAGGGCAGCACTTTCCTGCCCACACTACCATAGATGGGGGAAATATTTGTCACGTGACAATCAAACCAATATGTTTTGTTGCATTCTCAGAGTTGCAATCCAGTAAAATTAAAGAGTCAATTTCAATGTGGATGGATTGTTTTCGTGCAGTCATTGGTGACCGGGCTGAGACCAACTCACTGCACTTGAGAACCCAGTTTAACCACAGGCTGCTGACACTTGGGACTGAGACCCAGGATCTAAGCGGTGGTGGCTTGGCACCCTCACCTCTGAACCAAAGGAGCATAAACCATCATCTCCGGTCACCCTCGCAGTAGCCATTGAACAAAGACGGTGGTCACCGCATCGCGCACTTTTACATGCGCTTCTGCGGCCGTCTGGAACGCTCTTCCTTCCGATATTAGGAAGCCAACGGAGCTTTGCACTTTTAAATCTAGATTGAAAACCAATTTCTTTAGAATTGCTTTTCGGTATGTTTCGTTTGCTCTTCTTCCCCTGCATCTCCGATTAGCATGGATGCCTACGTACAGTGCAAACAAAAGAAGTGCAACACAAATACAACTCGGCGACCTCCGCAAAGGGGGAGTGTAATGTGAAACAGAAATATAAATATAATTACGTACCGTCTCCATGGTGAAGATCCAGATCGATGTACAGCACCCTCTCGAACTTCTCCCTGAGCTTGAGAATGCCCAGGACGATGTCGTTCACGTAGCAGAACCCGGACGCCTCGTCCCTGGGTGGGGCGAGAGAAAGCAAGCGAGAGGTCACCTTTGGTTCATTAAACTATTTTTTATTTTACCAGGTAAGGCCCACTGAGCTAGAGTGTAGCTCTTTTTCAGAAGCGACCTGGCTATCATAATTCGTAGCTTAACGAAGTGGCTTGTTACGTGAAAATGTATAGCAGCCAAATAATATCAATGCACGTTGATTCTAAATGTGGAGGGAAAAACCGGAGGCCCCGGAGAAAAATCCACACGACCACGGGGAGAGAGACATGCAAACTCCAAATATACAGGCGTCAGGGTTGGAATTGAACCCGCGACCTCCTCCGTACTGGGTGAGGGAGTCAATAGCCCCTTGTTGAATTTGGGGTCGGATCACGCGCGAGTAAAATGTGTGTCGTAAACCCTCCTCCACCCGACACGGCCAATTCATAAAGTGGTCAGGTGAACAAGTGTGCCCGGATATTATTGCTTCGGTGAGAAAAAAAGTGTGGCGTTGGAAAGCGGTCCAGAATATTGAACAAATGAGGGATCACCTTTTGCTATGGCTTAAAGGAAGAACGCAACTCAAAACTGGCCGGGCGGCTCGGAGGTCGGAGCCGGCACTGTTCACATTCCCGGGTTCTAATCCAGGTTATTGCAGCCACATTGTGATTAAACTTGATTCCCCCCAAAAAAAAGATGCTATCAAATGTCCATGTATCGCTTAACTTGCCAAAATTGCAGATGTGATGATTAAAATATTGCCTCAAAATAACCGTACAATATCCAAGCACTGTGAGGCAGGACAGTGCACGGACGGGCCATCGCTGCGCAACAACAAAATAAACAGGTTTAGCAGGCGGTTGCTGCGGGGTCTCCCAGCACGAAACGTCGGACAACAATGCGTGGCACGACCGGCAACACGCACGGGGAGAGCTGCTTCTTTATCGGCGAATACAACCGAGGCAGCGTCACGCTTCCACGTACGGCCGGGTGCACGTTCACGACGTACGGACGGACGGATGCCACCGATTAAAATCCTCGCAAACCGTGGCCATTGCCCCAAGCATCGGGTGCGAGGTTGGCACCTTACCAATACTCCCCTGGAGCCCGCGGGGAGATCCCTCTCCTTAATCATCACCAAAGACAAAGTTAAACTAAACTATTTAGTCAAATTTTTTTTTTTACCAGATTAAGGCCCACCGGGCTACATAGCTCTTTTTCAGGAAGCAACCTGGCCACAAATGATAGCTCAACAAAGTGGCTTGTCATGCGGAAATTCATAGCAGCCAAATACTCTAAATGCGTGTTTATAAATGTGGAGGGAAAAACCGGAGGAGGACCCAGAGAAAAATCCACACGACTACGGGGAGAGAGAGACACGCAGACTCCAAATATACAGCAGCAGGCGTCAGGGTCAGGATGGAACCCACGACTTCCTCAATGGCCCTTCTTCATAGCACACAAAGGAGAGCCGTTGCCTGAAACGTCACCGGTTTTACGGTTTTTCTTTTAAAGCTGCACGCACACTGTCATTGACTAGTGTGTTGAATTTTCTTGAAAAATCCATGCTACCACGGCGAGAGAGAGAGACACGCGAACTCCAAATATACAGCAGGTGTCAGGGTCGGGATCGAATCCACGACCTCCTGTAAACCCAACGAGGCAGTTAACATCTCGGCACCGTGGCGCCCCTGAATAGCCTTCACGGAATGTTGGCGCGAGTGCTGTTAGCGAGTAGCACTGCAAACGTTGGGGTGGGTGGCCAGCACCACGCCCTGCCGCCTTTGTCTCCTGAGTGGCGATGTCTGCACGAAGCAGCAGGTACTCATTTGAGACCGAGTCGACTTAGGGAAAGATCCAGGAGCTAGTCAGATAATCGTCACCGGTGTTGGCCGTGAGCGGGAATCGAACTCGGGTCGCCGGGTTCGTAGTCCAGCGCGCTTACAGTTATATCTACGGGACCCTTTTTTTTTGACAGTGCCAAAAAGGGTCCCGTAGACATTGTACCGCCGTCTCAGCTGCCACGCCGGGACATCGATTGAGACCCGACGGCCTTTCTGATCGCAAGAGTCCAGTTTTTTTTTGCCAATCGCCCCGCTGCCACGGCGACAGCCTCCGCGGGCCGCTAGACAACCTCCAACGCTTGGCACTCGCCCGAGTGTTCATCGGGCCCCCTAAAATAAGATCTCCCACCTCCGGTCATATGAGCCGTGCGTCGCTGCCTCACGGTGCAAAACAATCGTGGCCCCCCTTGTGACCCGCGATCGACCGACGAAGGCAGAGTCGCGTTGTGCTCAAAACCCAGTACTGTTGTTTTTATTTACATGTTGGGCATGCAAAGCAGTGGGGCGAAACAATCGGCTCTTTGCACTGGACGATGACGCGCCGAGTTGAAACTATCCCTGGAAAACCCACGAGCATGTGATGCCTTTATAAGGGACCCGTTTGTACGGGGGCATAAGAGTGTGTATTCTTCTTCCCTTTATGAATCAGTGCGAATGTTATAAGAGGCACAGATGTCCCCTTGTGCCCCCCATCCCCCCAACTCGGCAGCCCCCAACTGCCGGGCGGCACAATGAGGAGCATGTGACGGTACGGCCAACGGAGGGGACGGTGCCTGGTGAGTATGACGACGCGCAGGGCCGTGCGCGTCGGGGATTTGCGAGAACAAAAGCTCCCAGCCTTGCTCAGACCACCATCTCGAAATAACTGAATGAGTGCCCACGCTTTTCTTCAGACCACAAAATAACGAAGCTCTTTTTCACAGTGGGGAGTCTACGAGCGGGCGATCCTGGTGGAAACCCAATTTCTCAAAGCGTGCACATGTGCCCTCATCCAGATTGCCCGCCGACTGGAAAAAAAAAAAGACGTTATTTAAAAACGGGCAATTTTTTCTTCTCCTCTACCAATAAAAAAACCGTTCCATTTCCTGGTATTAATTACATTTGTCGTGAGCGAGATAAGCGATAAGCTGATACTGCAAGAAAGTACACGGCCGTTACTCTTTGGCAGTGTACAGCGCGCTTCTGACCGACTCCAGGGCTGAACGGCTCTATCTTCCACGTAAAGTAAAAAAAAAACAGCGTTTACAAAGCGGTTTCCAGAAAAACACCAAACTGCGTAGGTTTTCGCGGTTGTGAGTTACTGCGCCGGATTCTGCGGTGGTGCCGTATGGCTTCTCCCACGGCCGTGCCGCGACGCCGTTTCGGAACGACAGCCGGCGTTCTGTTGCTCGGCGGTGCCCGGCGCACATGTGGTAACTGTCAGCGGCGGCAGCATGCCACGTGCGACCCAGTCCCCTTTCACGCTGACCGGCGTGGCGAAGTATAGACAAACAAAGCCCCACGGCCGACGTGGCGTGGAGAGGAGGTCTTCGTTCATCCAGCAGTGGATTGACAAACGGCTATCAATTAATGATAATTATTACGGAATCTTATAATATACATTGTACTATTTATAACTGTTGTTATTATACCCCTTTGTTTTTGCAGAAAAGTCTCAAGGGTCTTTTTCAAGAGGCTCCTGCTACATTGGGACAGTTGGCCGATTCGCTTAATACCGCACCCTCTAGATCATAAGAAGCAACTTAATTTTTCCTATTATTTAAAAGTAAAAATTGGGAGTCCGCGGAATGCCTTTACCACCCTCTCCCCGTCGCTCGCGCTTTGTGCCGGGCTCTTGTGTGACAAACAAAAACGATTATACGTACGTAAAAAAAGAAATACATTGGAAGAAGCTCCCAGCACAACGTGGAGGGAAACGTCAAGACATCGTTGCCCGTACAACGCGGCGGGAAAACCACCAAAGCCACCAAAGCGCGAGAGCCACGGAGTTTGTGACACGGCGAATAAGGGCGCGGCGAGGGCCGAGTTGTGGCGTCTCATCACGCACACGCGTCCCGATCTCCCGGGCTACGACGGGTTTTGTTTGAAAATCAATTAAGGCTTCAATAAGAGCCATTACCCCCTATCGTTGTCGCTTAAGCCGAGCCGTATTTGCGCGCGCAGCAGCGCAGCGGTGTCTGAACCAGTTCCCTGGGCCATCCCACCCACACACCCATCCCCTCATCATCAACCATCACAGGCGCAGGATGGACGAGAAACCCCTGTGGCATGCCGGGGCGGGGAGAGGGAAAGGAGTCGGGGAGGGGGAGGGAAGGACTCCATCCATTTGCCGAAATGTATTTTATTTTTGTTCTATAAAGGGCTAACCAAGTGAAAAAAAATCACGAACTGCGCGGCCTGTTTGTGTGTAAAGGTGCGGCCCTGAAAGTTCCTGCTCATGCCGCTGCTGGCGAGAGCGGCCTCCAATCAGAGGGCCGATCCAGAGAGCCCCTCTTTCAACCCGCAATCTTGGCCTACTCTTCCACGTTGCCCACACGTCGTGAAAGAGGTGGGTCTACCCCACGTTTTACCCCACCACCACAAGCGACCCGTCCATGAACTGTTTTGTACAAATTTATTCCGCTAGGTAGACAAATGTTGGCGGGTGGGGTGGATGGGGGAGATTAAGACGTTTGCCCCCATCGTTTAAACTGCCGCGCCGGGAGATGGAATCGAACTCGCAACCTCTGAACTGCAAATCCTGTAGCGCGCTGACCGTTACTCTGACCGGAGGCATCCTCGTCTGTGGCCTTGCCTTTTAAAGGAGGGCACTTTGGGCTACTTGTGAACGCGGCACAAAACTTTACGGCACAAAAGCCCTCCACACGCAGGGGATTAACTGCAATCACGGGGGCTCCAGTACATCAATGGATTGGCTCGCTCAGCTTGTTGCTTGGCATGCACGCGCTCGACTTCTCAAGGGGTTGTCTGTTGCGAAATATCTACCGATGTGTGCAACTTGTTCGTCTGCCAAATGTAAAAGACTTTGTCATCTAGAAAGAGCCTTAAGTTGAGAGTTCTCATCAGGGCCCCATGGTGGCTAACAGCACATTCTCCCAACTGTTGTTCACTCAAGGCTCAGTGGCCTCACTATCTCTCTGTCACGATAGAAGGGCCGTTGCCCGAAACGTCGCCCGTGACCGTATTATCATTAGGATTACGACGGACTTTATTCTCACCGTTAATTTAATGGCAGTGTTGGGGGTCTTATAATCCTGGTGACGCCTCTCAATCGAGAGGACGGTTGTCCACAGCGACAGATCGCCAGCCACGAGGACGCGAGGACACGCCGCCGTCCTCCGTTCAACACAAACTTCTGGAAGACATCTCTCGCCATTCTCAGGCGGCGTGTTCGTAATCGTCTTCCGGAAGGCGGCTGTCCGTAGCAATTGCCGTGTTTTCCCCGCGATTAATAAAACACGTTGAAATTGTGAGCAGCAAAAAAAAAGAATTCAGAGAACGCGTCCTACTGCTCCGCATCGTCTAGCAATCCGGAGAATGCGGCACTGCATGTGGAACATTTTCTCATCTTAAGGGGCAGCGTGACGGACCAACGTGCATTCGGCGTTTTGTTATCCACGCTCGCGCGCGCCCGCTGCCCACGCGGCGTCGCAAACGAACGGCGACTCGGAGTCGGGGGTGGGGGGCATGAGATTGGAGCGAGGCTCTCCCAGCCGTGCCCCCGCCTCCCTCCCCCGGCCCCCCACCGACCGCCCCCCCCCCCCCCCCCCCCCCCCCGGCGCTGACGGTGACCTCGAAGAGGCGGCGTTTTTACGACCCTCCTCGCGGCGGCCGAAGCCGCCGGCAGCGGGCCCCCGAGACGCGGGAGAAATTCCATTGAGCACGGGGCTTCTATCGAGAAGTGCGCGTATCGACGGGCAACCCATCCGTGGAGATCATTTACTAACACCCAGTAGCGGGTGACTGTCCTGATGGAATCGCGCGCGAAAAAAAACAAACCCTACCACACACGCGCGCGCACACGCGAGCACACGGAGGTGACCGGGTTCAAGAGAGGATTTTTAGCAAGCAGCGGCGTGCAGCCGACGCTCGGCGAGGAATGTTCGTGATGGCACAAAAGGAGCCAAACGGCATTTCCTCCTTGCATCACTTTCTGTTTCTGTGTTGCTATATAGGGATATGAGAAGAGCCGAGCGAAGAGAGAGGGGGGGGGGTAAAACAAAAAAAAACCATGGGCTCCTTAAGATTCCTGAGATTCGGAGGAAATGCCTCGGGCTTAAAGAGCGTTGCACAAAGGCAGCGGTGAGATGGCAGCACGCTGAGACGCGGCGATTGTTATGCTGACGCTTGGCACAAACCGTGCACAAGGAGTGACTTGCCAATGCATTATGGGTGTGTCGGCCGGCAGGGGAGTCAAGACGCATTGATGACTATCGATTAGCGTCGATCGTTAAGCTTCAGGGATGCCGCCGTGGTTGTAGTGGTCAGCACGCCGCACTTGCAATCCCAACAGGTCACCGGTTCAGCAGTTGAAACAATTGGACAAGTTTCTTAAACCCACCAATCTCCCTGCAACCACCCCCCCCCCCCCCCCCCACTTGTCCACCCAGGGCTACAGCTTGTTGATCACCATCTTCCTCTTTCGTACGGCTGCTCACGTAGATGCAGAAGCAATGATTACAATTTCACATTCAGGTGGTCAAGCCTGGATAACCGCGTCACAGACCGGCGGAGTGTATCGCTGACCGACAGGTCGTGTGTGGTTGCGCAAAGTGTGGGTAAGTACAACCTCTTCTAAGATGTGTGGCCAGCGTGGAAGAGAAGGCCAAAACATCCTCTAGAGGAGGTCAAGAGAGCTCCGACTAGTGGAGGCTTTTCTGCCAGCAGTGGCACGAGCAGGCGATTGTAGGTTCCGTGCGTTTTTCCTTCTCGCGCGCGTCGATCGGTACGCGAGAGTAAACTGTCGTTCAGACGTTTGTAAACGCTGCACGTGCAAGGCGTTGGGAACTTGCGTCACAACATCCGCAGCCACTGGAGGTGCCAACGTTCGCCGGGAACGTAAAAAGAAAAAAAAATCCCACATTCGATTCGTTCATCGAATTGCGATTTGACAATCCGTTGCGTCTTTGGCGGTGAGCATTAGTCGTTGAACTCTCGATCTCCCCGCGTTTATTTCCATCCGGTTATTTTTCCGTCAGCGACCCAGGGGCCCAGCGGCGTCAGCGCGGCGTGCAGAGGTACCGCAGTTCGAATCCAGCGGCCGAACCTCGTGCCCGACGTTTCGCTCCACACGCTGGAGCCTTTTTCCTGTGGACCGAATTCAGTTCGCGTCCAAGGAGCGCACAGCACGTCGAGCGAAACATCGGACATTGTGCTGGTAGCTAGGCAGTTGTTTATATTATATTGGCATGTGAATCTCAGAAAAGTCAAATTCCACTATCCCATGGCAGGGCCGGGTCTATCCAGGGAGCAACCGCTGCTGACTTCCAGAACCAATAAGTGACGCTCGTTTCATCGATCCTGGATAAAGAGAGTCACAGTCAATACAACCTCAAAAGGGCAATTTAACTCGCGACTTTCAAATTTGTTAACCAAGCGGGTTACGTATCAAAGCGATCTAATTTTAGAAAACCTGAGATTAAAAAAAGGGTCTAAAATGACGCCGCACGATGCGGGCTTCCACACGTGGCCGTGCCCGCATCTTGTTTTTTAGCGATGACATTGCCGGAGCTTTGGTGGTCCTGCGCTGCCGAATGGCGGCATAGTGGCCTGCATGAGCGTTCCAAAGCCTCCCTCCCGCCTAAGAAGTTAATTCGGCGTAAAAAAACCCAAAGGGGATTTGCCCACTTTACAAAATTGTGCTCACCGCAGCTGTCCTACTTTCGCGTGCCCTGCTGATGGACCGCTCGCCTGAAAGCCAGGTGTTTAATGGGCGTGAAGACGTGAGGACAGGCAGACAATTATGTTACTTCACAGGTTTGATATTTAGGTCGTCAGGGTGTTGCAAACCGTTTCATTCTCTGCATCGAAGCAATCTCACGCCTCCGTGTGCGTACATGTCTTCAACAGGTGCTCGCGAACAGAACTTGCCCCAAAATTTATACTAAGGCTACACGGGGGACCTCTGTCGTGTGTGCACGGATGTTCGTTTCACAGGGAAGTGGTAATGTAGCGGTTAGCCGCACTGCACCATCAACCCGGTGACCCGAGTTCGATAACCGGTCACGGCCAACATCGGTGACGAATATATGAACAGGTCCTGGGCCTCCCCTGGGTCGACTCAGCCTTATAAACGGGTTTGCCGGTGCACTGTGGTAATACGACGGCACTGGGGAGACAAAGGCGGCCGGGCGCGGTACTGGCCATGCCACCACCTCGTGTGCTGTTCTAGTCTTCACAGCTGCTCGCTAACAGCACTTGCCCCAGAAGTCTGTTCATGCTATGGGGGGGGGGGGGTATTATGTGTACATATGCCAAGTAAAGTATGTGTGCATAGGCGGTGGTGGAGTGGTTTACGCTCCCCATTACATTTTTAGATATCAGTGACTCAGGTTTACGTTATGTGGTTGTGAAAATATCAGTGGCATTGGAACCTGTCCTGGAATTCCCTCGGTTAAACTCAGCTCTGAATGAGTGTGCAAACATCAGCACGGGGGAGACAAAGGTGGGTGGTTGGCCAACATCATCTTCTTGTGTGCCACGCCAGGGTTAATACACGCTGGCTGCACTTGTCCCAACGTTCGTTGAGGCTAACTGGGCAACCTTTTGTATGGAGTTATGTTTGTTGACACAAAGCAATTGCTAACATGGGAAAAAGGAAGACATACTTTCAGCGGCACCTGTTGTAACACTGCTCCTACACACAAAACATAATGGCACATTATTTACAATCCCTTGTCAATTTACTGCTGGATGAAAGCCTTTCCCGTGCTGTTTTGGCTTATATAGTGGTTGTTTGAACATACTTCACCACGCTGGTCAGTGCGCATTGGTGAAAAGGGGGATGGTGGGGAGCAGGAACGATTGAACTGTCACTCGCCACTGACGCTACAGCCGTGGCCGGGAATAATTTTCAGGCGGTCGAACTCGCAGCTCGGCGTGCTAACCGCTGCGCCACCGCTCCAGCCCACTTGCCAAGTGGCACATTCAACGGCATCAACGGTAGACTCGAAAGGTAGGTAAAACATATAGGGCAAAAGCGAAGAAGAAAATGCGGAGAGGTGATAAATAGATCGGCGGAGGTTAGCAATTAAATCACATTCGGTGCGAGAGGTGAGCCCTGGCCAAGCGGGGCACTGCGCAAAACCGCCCGCCTGCCCGCCCACCCACCTCCGGACCCGCTCGGTCTACGCGGGAAGTGAATGGAAATTCCGCGCACGTTGCCGGCGCGTTACTTTTTCGCGTGGTGCCACCCTCCGGGCCAGTTGAGGGCCACGTCGCAGGAGCCGTCCATCAGAGAGCCGGCGGCCGCCAGCGTCCCTCCAGCCACGGACGCCGCGCACTCGAACACGCCCTCCGTGGTGGGGCAGTCGTAGCCTGCGGGCACCGCACACACGCACCGCACGATGTATCCACCGCACACACGCACCGCACACGCGCACCGCATGTTTCCACCGCACACGTGCACCGCACACAGACACAACGTATCCACCGCACACAGACACACACAACATACCCACCGCACACTTGCACCTTACCGCACACACGCATCGTACGCACCGCACACACGCACAATGTATCCACCGCAGACATGTATCGCACAAGCGCGCCACACTCATGCACGGGGCCGCGTTTAGAGATGACCCCTTCAGAGACTTCTGTCTGGCCAGTGTTGAAGAGGCCAAAATACCCATCCTCCAGAAAGGCTCTCTCTTGCTTCCTCGAGTGGAGGGCCCTTCCGTCAACAGTGGCACGAGCAGGGAATTGCAGGGCTGCACCTCAATAATATATTCTTTGCATGCAGATGGCAGCAATTCGTCCACCGCCACCAGAGGAGTGAACACCGCTCGTGGTGGTGGATCCAAGTGCAGGGCGATGGGGGCAATGTCCCCCCGCTCCCCCCTCTCCCTACCCTTGAGACCCAGAATTTTGTTATTATATTGATATTTTCGCGGCCTCTGTTTAAAAAGCTGGAAATCTCAGCACTACGCATCCCCCCTCCGCTCCGGCCCCTCCCCCCCCGGGCCCAGCTCAATCTGCTGTCGAGTTATAATTCGTGAATAATGGACGACGACAACACTTGTTGTGGACACCCTGTGCCACGACTAATACGATACATTGTGGCTCCTGGGTCAAACTGCCACCTCTGACGTGCGATGGGATAAGCTGATGTCGCAGTAGCGAGGGAGGGGAGAACCGCACGGAAGTGCATCGTCTTGGGTGGCGTACGATTATTATAATTATTACAATTATTATTGATAGAAAACCAGGAGTGTTCACGCCCCGGGAAGACGAGGCAGACTTCCCCCAGACAGCAGCTGCTTCCTCCTGATCCAAGAGGACGATCCTGGGAAAACCGGGACAAGTGGCAACCTAGCTGTTGAGAGTCGGCACCGGCGTACGTATGCATGAAAGCCGTGAGTGACTCGTCGCTCCCCCCCGGTCACACACTGACGAAAAATCAGAACGAGACAAACTGCTCAACGACGCAGGGGTGGCACGAGAACCCCCCCCCCCATCAGCCCCCCCCCTCTAGTGCCCCCCCACCCCTTCCTGTGCCCAACCACGCCCCCACCCATCCGTGCCCCCCGCCAAACAACAGCAAAATACCTAAGCCCTCTCGACTTCAAACGTCCATGGAAACACTCGCTCGCGGGTCATTAATTAGATTTTTGTTGCTGAATTATTTATTTTGTTTGCAGGGCCACGCAGCGCGCGCCAAACCCATCGGCGCCGCGCGGGTGCTGCTCAACCCAACGAGCCGTCGCGTCGCGGTTCGTCGGGAGCCGGCGACGAATCTGAACTCGACCCTCCTTTTGGAGAGCTCGCGTGAAGCGCGTGCACGCCCGCCCGCCCGCTCGCTCGCTCGCGTTCGGCGGAAAGGGGAGATCGTTGGCCCGGCTGCACGGGAATTGCTCGAAGCGAAAAAAACAGAACGTGTCGGTTATTTAATCGGATGTGATTTTAGCCAAGGGAACCCTCCCCAAATGCGGTGAGACATTTGTGCTGCATTTTATACGCGAATTCCGTGTCGGCAGCCTCCACCTTTGAATGTCTGGCCCTGCTCTGGCCCAGTGCTCCTGGCCTCGCAGTGAGTTTGCACCACGAGATTGCCACACTGTGTGGTAGGCTGTAGGCCCAAAGTAACCAAGCAAAGGCTTAGGGTCCCCAAGCAGCTCAAGGGGGCCTGGAATTCATACAAGAAATAGCGGCGTGTCGAATATCCGCTCGAATTCAAATCTGAATATAACATAACCCAATTCGCATTAATAACGTCATTATAAATGTGTCGTTAAAACCCCCCACCACTCGGCACAGCCAACTAGTAAGGGTTGTCACGTAAACAGAAAATGCCAATTCGTCACTAGTACAGCAGACCATCTCGTCTGCATCTCTCTCGTCTCTATTTTTGTCCACATTGTCTCATCTCGCGAGGTACACCTCCATCGCTTCTCTATACTTCTGCTGCCATCTCGCTGTCAATTTAGTGAGATGGGATGAGAGGAGGGGAGTCTCCAAAAACAACTCCTGCTTTGGGCCCTGAATAGACCACAAGCACCACCACAACCACCACTGGCCACCGTGAACGGACGACGTCCTACTACGGACAACAGGGCCGCATTCACCGTGCGTGTTGAGGCCTGCCGCAATGCCAACAACTCAACGCCGTTCACAGGGCCGGATTAACCCACAGGCTAATAAAGGTTCAGGCCCTGATTTCGCAAGGCCTACGTTGTTGGTAACAGCTGATCGACGGTAGCGCGGCAATCGGGAACATTTTTTGTGTGCTTGGATTGCGATGAAATAATTCGTGACTATGCCACAGCGGCTAAAGCGAGGAGAAAAAAACCGAATGTTTGTTCGAAGAAATTGGTATAGTGAGTGATTTACGTTTGATGACTTTGCCTTGAGTCAAATACACATGTTAATGTTACATAGGTAATAAACGCATTTGATGACTTCATTTTACTGTTGTTGCAATTATATGTAAGGAATACTTAAGCCCATCTCTCCTATTACCATGAAGCCCCTCATAACCGAAATACAGCCCTGGCCATCCACCACGGTGGTGGACACGAAGCGCTCACTCCATCTTCATGGCACAAACCAAAACCAAACTTTTAAAACAAAAGGTAAAAATAAAATCTAAGTTAAATTTTACCAGGAAAGGCCCACTAAGTTGTACAGCTCTTTTTCAGAAGCGATTTGTCCACAAATGATAGCTCAACGAAGTGGTTCATCGCGTGGAAATTTAGAGCCGCCAAATACTCTAAATGCGGAGAAAAACCCACGCAACATGGCGCCACCACACTCACTGTGCGCACCTCATCCAGCAGTAGATTGATCGTGGCTGCTGCCGATGATGATGCGTGGGTTTGCGTGCGCGCAAGTGGCACGCCGCTACGGACGGAACTGGTGCCGACACATAAATGTCGGTGTCCATCTGCTGCGTTCATTTCAACGCCTGTGCATATCCGTCTCCGCGACTGTCTGTTGATCTATATCAATCCATACAAGGTGAGATTATTTTCGTTCAAACTCTGCGTTTCTCCTGCCTATCGGTGCTTCAAAAACAAACAAAGGAACACCGCGGCGACGGTTCACCTGGGACATTTTGTTGTTCTGCGCGTCACGCCGGCTAGGAAGCCCGGCGCTGGAGGGTTAATTTTCTTAGCGTGCGACCCCACCCCCCCGTGTTGATTCTGGGAACATTACTTATTTATCGCCAGTGGTTAATGTGTCAATGGCATTGGCACAGAGTGCTCCCTGCTACTCTCCTGTGAGCAGTGTCCCCGGATCGCTATCGGCCCGCCGACGACGACGAACAAACCACACCACTCTCTGGTAATTGGGCTCAAGGCGAGAGGAGGAGAGCTGGGGGGGGGGGAGCTGGGGGGGGGGCTGGGGGGGGGGGCTGGGGGGGGGAGAGCTGGGGGGGGGGAGCTGTGCGGCCTTAAAATAAAAATATAACAGGCGACGTTTCGGGCAATAGCCCTTCTTCATGGCACGTAAATGGAGACGCCAGAGAGAACAATTTTAGCCGCGTTGCTACGAACATTCCTGCATTGAACATTGTGCGGCAAAAAAAACACCTCCTTAAAAATGTGGTGACCCAAGTCGAGAGCTATGCGTTCTGTGTCGGCAACGGAGTGCAACGGCGACCCCTGGTGGCTCATGGACTTCTCAGTTGAACGCGCACGCAGCCCCTGCTGGAAAGCAAAAAAAACAAATGTGAGGTATTGGAGTGGGTCCTCATCATCACAAAGGGACAAGAGGCAGATTTCGGGCGAATAGGAAACAGGAGAGAAGTGATTTAAAAAAAAATGGTGGGGGTGGTTAAAAGGAGAATACTACTGGCTGACACAAGCCAGTGGTTTCAGTCGAAAGTCAAGACCTACGATTGGCTGACATGAGCCAGTGGTTTTCAATTGAAAGTCAACAGATCAAGAGATCGAGACGTCATCGTTGCCAAAGCAGCTGCTGCCACCGCTCCCCGGCAACGCTTTGTGCCGAGCACCCGCGACATCTCAAGTTGCGCCGTCACGCTGGCCTATCGGTGAAGTGACCCCGTTCAAGTTGCGCCGTCGCGCTGGCCTATCGGTGAAGTGACCCCGTTCAAGTTGCGCCGTCGCGCTGGCCTATCGGTGAAGTGACCCCGTTCAAGTTGCGCTGTCGCGCTGGGCTATCGGTGAAGTGACCCCGTTCAAGTTGCGCCGTCGCGCTGGCCTATCGGTGAAGTGACCCCGTTCAAGTTGCGCCGTCGCGCTGGGCTATCGGTGAAGTGACCCCGTTCAAGTTGCGCCGTCGCGCTGGCCTATCGGTGAAGTGACCCCGTTCAAGTTGCGCCGTCGCGCTGGGCTATCGGTGAAGTGACCCTGTTCAAGTTGCGCCGTCGCGCTGGGCTATCGGTGAAGTGACCCCGTTCAAGTTGCGCCGTCGCGCTGGGCTATCGGTGAGGTGACCCCGTTCAAGTTGCGCCGTCGCGCTGGGCTATCGGTGAGGTGACCCCGTTCGTCACCCTACACGGAGAACGCAACAAATAATAAAAAGTCTCGACCCCGCTCCCGTGCGTGCCGCTGGCCGGGAGATGATGGGGCTGGGCTTGGTGATGTCATCGGTGCGATTGGGGTCACGGGTCATTTTTAAAGGGAACCACACACAAAAACAAAAAGGAGTCGATTACAATATCTCAGTCGACCAATCAGCTGAATCGGATGCTCGTCCAGCCTTTGGCTGCAATGGAAGGAGGCGTGCTGGTACGCAGATGCCGCCCCGCTAACAATCTCAACGCATTAAAGCTTTCGTGACTGCATAAAATTACTCATTGTTTTTTTCGGTAAAGCCACGTATGTAGAAAAAAACAATAAAATTATATT